CTACAGGTGCGCACTACCATGCCTGGCTAATTTTTTGATTTGTTGTAGAGACAAGGTCTCACCATGTTACCCAGGCTGGTCTTGAACCTGCTGGTTCAGGCAATCCTCTTGCCTTGGCCTCCCAAAGTGCTGGCATAACAGGCTTGTGTCCTGCCCAACTATATTTTCTAATCTAAAAAAAAAAAGAAGCCAGGCTCGGTGGCTCAGCCTGTAATCCCATGCCTTGGGAGGCTGAGGTGAGTGGATTGCCTGAGCCCGCGGGTTTGAGACCCGCCTGGGCACCTTGGTGAGACCTCATCTCTACAATAAATCAAAAAATTAGCCAGGTGTGGTAGCACATGCCTGTAGTTCCAGCTACTTGGAAGGCTGAGGCGGAAGGATCGCCGGAGCTCAGCAGGCTGAGGCTGCGGTGGTCGGGAGTGGCTACTGCACTCCAGTCTGGGTGACAGAGTGAGACTCCAACTCAAAAAAAAAAAAGAAAAAGAAAAAACAGGGAGGCCCACGGAGCCTAAGTTACATTGGGGTCACAGAAGAATTATATAAGATGAGACATAAAAGCACCAGGTACATGGTAAGTAATCAGTAAACATAAATTATCTTAATTTTGAGGGGGAGGAAAATGAAGTTCAAAAAGTTGAAATAACCTGCACAAGGTCACCATGCTAGTGACCTTAATTTGATGGGTTTTTTTCTCTAATAATATTGCCACTTAATTTATGTTGCCTGGCATTGTGGCTCATGCCTGTAATCCCAGCACTTTGTGAGGCAGAGGCGAGAGGATTGCCTGACCCCACAGGTTTGAGATCAGCTTGGGCAACTTGGTGAAACCTTGTTTCTATAATAAATCAAAAAATTAGCCAGGCATGGTGGCACGAGCCTGGAAGACTGAGGCAGGATCACCTGAGCCCAGCAAGTAGAGGCTATAGAGGCTGGGAGCATGAGACTGTATTCCAGCCTGGGCCACAGAGTGAGACCCCAACTATAAAAAATTAAAGAAAAAAGAAAAGAAATTGACTGTACACTGTCAAGTTCTCTAGATGTTTTTGGCAACAAATAAAAATACATACATAAACCGGGCTCGGTGGCTCAGCCTGTAATCCCGTGCCTTGGGAGGCTGAGGTGAGTGGATTGCTTGAACCCGCGGGTTCAAAACCCACCTGGGCAACTTGGTGAGACCTCGTCTCTACAATAAATAAAAAAATTAGCCGGGTGTGGTAGTACGCGCCTGTAGTTCCAGCTACTTGAAAGGCTGAGGCGGAAGGATCGCTGGAGCCTAGCAGGTCGAGGCTGCGGTAGCCAGGAGCAGCCACTGCACTCCAGTCTGGGCGACAGAGTGAGACTCCACCTCAAAAAAAAAAAAAAAAAAAAAATACATAAAACTTCAGTGACTGGGTGTGATGGCTCCTGCCTGTAATTCCAGCACTTTGGGAGGCCAAGACAGGAGGATTGCTTGAAACCAGGAGTTCAAGATCAGCTCGCACAACATAGGGAGAACCCATCTCTAAATAAAATTAAATTAAATTAAATTAATTAATCAATAAAAATTTTTAAGTGCAAATATTCTGGCTGGGTGCAGTGGCTACACCTGTACTCTAGCACTTTGAGAAATTGAAGAAGAATATAATAAGTGAATAAATAATAGCACTAAAGGCAGAACATAAAAAGTGCATTAGAGAAGCATAAATACGGTGTTTGTAGGTTCAGAGTTCATAGTCCAGTTGAGAATATCCCCAAGGCCTCAAGCAGCCCATCTGTATAGAACATGGGACTCTTTTAAGACCATGAAGAACCACCTATAAAGTAAAGTGACCAGGAAGTTCAGAGTGACTCAGTTAAAAACTGTAGCATTGGCTGGGCTTTGGGAGGCTGAGGTTAGAGTTAGAGGATTGCTTGAGCCCATGGGCTCGAGACCAGCCTGGGCAATTTGGCAAGACCTCATCTCTACAATAAGTTTAAAAAATTAGCTGGGCATGATGGCATATTCCTGTAGTTCTAGCTACTTGGAAGGCTGAAGCAGAAGGATCACCTGAGCCCAACAGGTTGAGGCTGTGGTAGCCAGGAGCATGCCACTGCTCTCCAACCTGGGTGACAGAGTGAGATCCCAACTTAAAAAAATAAAAATGGCTGGGCTCGGTGGCTCAGCCTGTAATCCCAGCACTTTGCGAGGCCAAGGTGAGTGGATTGCCTGAACCCGCAGGTTCGAGACCCGCCTGGGCAACTTGACAAAACTTCATCTCTACAATAAATCAAAAATTAGCCGGGCGTGGTAGCACGCGCCTGTAGTTCCAGCTACTTGGAAGGCTGAGGCGAAAGGACCGCGGGGCCCCAGCAGGTCAAGGCTGCGGTGGCTGGGAGCAGCCATTGCACTACAGTCTGGGTGACAGTGAGACTCCAACTCAAAAAATAAAAAATAAATAAAAATGGCTGGGCACAGTGGCTCATGCCTATAATCCCAGCACTTTGGGAGGCCGAGGTGAGAGAATTGCCTGAGCCTGCAGGTTCGAGACCAGCCTTGGCAATTGGCACGACCTCATTTCTACAATAAATCAAAAAGTCAGCCAGGCATGGTGGCGCGTGCCTATAGTTCCAGCTACTTGGAAGGCTGAGGCAGAAGGATCGCTGGAACCCAGCAGGTTGAGGCTGCATTGGCCAGCAGTGGCCACTGCACTCCAGTCTGGGCGACAGAGTGAGACTCCAACTCAAAAAAAATAATAATAAAAAACAATAAAAAAATAAATAAAAATAAGGCTGGGTGTGGTGGCTCACACCTATAATCCCAGCACTTTGGGAGGCCCAGGTGAGAGGATTACCTGATCCCACAGGTTAGAGACCAGCCTAGGCAACTTGGCAAGACCTCATCTCTACAATAAATCAAAAAATGAGCCGGGTTCGGTGGCTCAGCCTGTAATCCCACGCCTTTGGGAGGCTGAGATGAGTGGATTGCCTGAGCCCGCGGGTTCGAGACCCACCTGGGCAGCGAGACCTCATCTCTACAGTAAATCAAAAAATCAGCCGGGCATGGTAGCGCATGCCTGTGATTCCGGCTACTCGGAAGGCTGAGGCGGAAGGATCGCCGGAGCCCAGCAGGTCGAGACTGCGGTGGCCGGGAGCGGCCACTGCACTCCAGTCTGGGCGACGGAGTGAGACTCCAACTCAAAAAAAAAAAAAATGAGCTGGGCATTGTGGCATATGCCTGAGTCAGATGATCCCTGGGTGGGGTTGGATAGGATTGCTTAAAATTAGTTGGGTAAAGTGAAGTGTGCCTGTAATCCTAGCTACTCGGGAGGCTGATGTGGAAGGATGGCTTAGGCCCAGGAATTTGAGGCCAGCCTGGGCAACACAGTAGAATCCTGTCTTTAAACATTTTTATTTTTTATTTTTTGAGTTAGAGTCTTACTCTGTCGCCCACGCTGGAGTGCAGTGGCACTTTTTATGAACTTTATATTGGAATCCTTCAGTGTTGTACTGGTTATAAATTTGCAGTGAGAACAATCTTTGAAATATCTTTGTCTTTATCCCTGACACCTAAAATTTATTCTACTAAATTAGAATACTGAAAAGATAAGTTTTAATGATGTCTGATCATGTGAATTCAACAAACATACTATGATTGCAAAATAGTTACAAATATTACTAACACTCATCTTGAGGGATATACTCATGAGAGGACTATCACTCACTTGGCAAAAAATCAAAGTCTCTTAATAACCCTAACAGTGACCCCTTTAAAAAGGCATAGGTGGTGGCATGTGGCTCAAACCTGTAATCCCAGCACTTTGGGAGGCCAAGACAAGAGGATGGCCTGAGACCAGGAGTTCAAGACCAGCCTGGGCATTTGGTGAGACCTTGTCTCTACAGTAAATTAAAAAAAAAAAATTAGCCAAGCATGGTGGCACGTGCCTGTTGTGCCAGCTACTTGGAAGGCTGAGGCGGAATGATCACATGAGCCCAGTAGGTTGAGGCTGCCATGGCCATGAGCGTGTCACTGCACTCCAGCCTGGTCGACAGAGTGAGACTCCAACTCAAAAAAAATAAATAAGAAAGAGGGTCAGGCTTGGTGGCTCAGCCTGTAATCCTAGCGTTTTGGGAGACTAAGGTGAGTGGATTGCCTGAGACTGAGGGTTGGAGACACACCTGGGCAAGTTGGCGAGACCTCACCTCTACAGTAAAAATCAAAAATTAGCCGGGCGTGGTAGCGCATGCCTGTCATTCCGGCTACTTGGAAGGCTGAGGTGGAAGGATCGCCAGAGTCCAGCAGGTCGAGGCTGAGGTGGCTGGGAGCGGCCACTGCCCTCCAGTTTGGGTGAGTGCGACCCCAACTCAAAAAAAAAAAAAGAAAAGAAAACAAAGAGGTTCTTTTTGTTGTTTCTTTTTTTTTTGAGTCAGAGTCTCACTCTGTCACCCAGACTGGAGTGCAGTGGACGCTCCCGGCCACCGCAGCCTCGACCTACTGGGCTCCGGCCATCCTTCGCCTCAGCCTTCCAAGTAGCCGGAATTACAGGTGCGCACTACCACACCCGGTTGATTTTTGATTTATTGTAGAGATGAGGTCTCGCCAAGTTGCCCAGGCGGGTCTTGAACCCACGGGCTCAGGCAATCCACTCACCTCAGCCTCCCAATGCTCAGGATTACAGGCTGAGCCACCGATCCCAGCGTATCCTTGTATTTTACAAAGAAGAAATTTGCTTAACCTCAATAGTGACCCTAAGACAGTGAATAATGTTTTAATTGTGCTTTTCAGTAGCTATCACTTTATAAAAAGTCAAACAAAATATGAACTATTTATCTCAGAAATATTGGAAGCCTGAACTAGATGGTAAGAGGTATATAGCAGTTCCAAAACCCACCCCACTTAATAATTTATGAACAAGTCTCTACTTGCTTAGAATACACACCTAACCATCCCCTGACATCCACTGCAGAAAGGTTGCCTTGTAATTGCAGACATCACAAAATATAGTCTATATAATAACATCTGAAAAGGTTTTTTATTAATTCAGCTTTCAGGCAGACCCCAAAAAACCCATCGGGGGACATATTCTGGCTCATGCTTCAACAACTAGAATAAGCTTGAGAAAGGGAAGAGGAGAACTCAGAATTGCCAAGATTTATGACAGGTAAATATTTTCTTACTCTTCATCAGATTCCTCTGCATATGGTATTAAACAGAATTGCCTCTCCTGAGAGGTTATAATTATATCACTGGCAGATGCAATATGTTTGAATTTCCTTCTCAAAAAATATTCAGACTGGGTAGGGTGACTCACGCCTATAATCCCAACACTTTGGGAGGCTGAGGTAAGAGGATTGCCTGAGCCCAGGGGTTCATGACCAGTCTGGGCAACTTGGCGAGACCTCATTTTTTTTTTTTTTTTTTTTTTGAGTC